AGCTCAGCAACACGGCGGCTCGGAGGACTCGGGTGGCGCGGCAGCAACTGCGGCTCGGCGGCACCCGCGACTCGGCTCCTCCGCTGCTCAAGCGGCTCGGGCGGCTCAGGCGGCTCGGGCGGCTCAGGCGGCTCGGGCGGCTCGGGCGGTGCGGGCGGCTCGGCTGCGTAGGGCGGCGGGGCCGCTGGTAGAGCGGCGGGGCCGCAGGTAGGGCAGCGGGGCCGCTGGTAGGGCGGCGGGGCCGCAGGTAGGGCGGCGGGGCCGCAGGTAGGGCGGCGGGGCCGCAGGTAGGGCGGTGAGGCCATTGTAGGGCGGCGGGGCCGTAGTAGGGCGACGGGGCTGGGTCTAAGGTAGGGCGACGGGGCCGGGTCGAAGGTAGGGCGACGGGGCCTGGGTCGGAGGTGGGCCGACGGGGCCGCGGTCGCAAGTAGGGCGACGGGGCCGGGGCGCAGGTAGGGCGACAGGGCTAGGGCCGGGGCCGCAGGGATGGCGGCGGGGCCAGGGTCGCAGTGGGGCGACGGGGCCGGGGTCGCTGGTAGGGCAATGGGGCCGGGGCGCAGGTAGGGCGACGGGGCCAGGGCGCAGGTGGGGCGACGGGGCCGAGGCGCAGGTAAGGCGACGGGGCCGGGGCCGTAGGTGGGGCTACGGGGTCGCAAGGGCTAGGAAGCAGGGGCCGCTAAGGCGGCGCGACGTGGCCGCTAGGGCGGCTCGACAAAGACAGAGAGGGGAGCGCGACTCGGGGAGCGCGCTCCAGGCAGGAAAAAAAAAATCGATGTGGTGGGCCCTAGGCACAGTTCCCACAAGGGAACCTGCTCGATACCATGAGAAAGTTGAAACGAGAAATGAATGCACTAAGGAATGAAAGTGGTACAAATATGCAACCCTAGAAATGTGTACCCCATATAGGCTACCCCACTACAGCCTACACAACATTATAATTTAACATCAGCCAGCTTCAAGCTCTTCGCAGGGCGCCTAGTCCGCAGGGACCTCCACACCTCTAGTGCCTCCGGCCAGTCGATCTCATACTTGAGGAGCGATATCTGCATCAGCTCCCCCAGACGCGCATTGCATAGCGCTCCTCGCACCCAGGACTGGATGACATTCTGCCTGGAGAACCCCCTCTCGCACTCCACGGTGGAGAGGGGGAGCACAGCCAGCGCCTGCCACAGCAGGATGAGGTTGGGCCATCCCCTCTCGTCTCTGGAAGCAGCGGTTGAGGTCGTTCATGTCCGCCAAGATGTCGGCCAAGAAAAACAAGCAGAACTGAAACTTGTAGCAGGTGACAATCTCGTACGCCTTGTGATTGTGCTCCCAAAGCAGCACGATGCAAGCGCCGAGGACCTTGCACAGCCTGGCCACCGCATCTCCTTGAGACAGCCACCGCACCGTGTGGATGCCTTGGACTTCCAGGTTGGTCTTGTAAATCACACGCTGCAGGTACTTGAAGCGCTGACTCCACATGCTGGAGTTTCCGAGCAGAGTCGCCACAGTGCGCACCACCTTGTCGACCATGTCGAGATCCAGGTTTGAGTCAGCGGCGTCCTTCACAGCCAATGCCTCACTGTGTAAAGCAGGGAACAAGTATTATGGTTTGTAAGTAAACCAATCAGCATAGATAACATGCTACAATACAGACCAGCTCACATACCGATGGGCGATGCAGTGGCATGAGAACAGATGAGGGACGTGTTCACGAAGACGCGCCACCAATCCGTTCTCTCTCCCGGTCATGACCGACGCCCCGTCCGTGCTGATGCCGACGATCTTGGACACATCGACGGCAGCGGAGCAAAGATGGTTCAGCAGCACCTCAAACAAGGACCCTGCATCACACCGCTCGACCGTCAGCAAAGTGAAAAACTCGCATGCAACTTGGCGGTTCTTCATATATGTAAGGTACACAATCATGTGTTTCCCTCGCGTGCGGTCAGTGCTCTCGTCGCACTGGATGCCCAGGAACGGTGATGCCAGGACGTGGTCCATCTGCACCCGGATGAGGTAAGTGCTCATGCTGTGGACCATCTGCTAGAAGCCGTAGCTGCAACAAAGGACAGAGAAATTATCAGTACACGATAGTCAAGCTAGTTTTTTTACGTGCATGTTTAAATTTGCAATCAATTTGAACCGTCACTACCCGCGTGAGATAAACGTCGTACGACTGCTGGGGAATGTCTGGCATGTCCTGCTCCGCAAGATGCCGCATTAGCTTAGGAAACATGCTAATCGGCCCATCGCACTAGCACAGGAAATGAGTCGGCCGCATCAGCCGTATCGCGCGGCGGCCCTCGACGTCGGAGTTGATGAAGTCCGAAATCACCTGCTGCCCCTCGCGGATTCCCACCACAATCTTCATCTGGCGGTCCACCGCCGCCATGTGTGCGTCCGTACGCTCGTGCGCCCGGAACGACTGCGTCTGCAAGTCACGGCCTGCGTCGTCTCCCTGCATGGCGTACCTCGTGTTCCCCTTACCGTACGACATGCAGATGCTGCACTTCACGTACGGGAAATCGTCCTTGGTTTTCCCAAACACAAGCCAAGAATAGTATCCAGCCCACTTCGTCTCGTAATTAATACTCGCCTCCAGGTACATCTGCTCTCGCAGCTGCGTCTTGGTGAGTGCCGGCGAGCCGGTATCCGCGCGCACCGGGATGTCACCTTCTTCCGGTAGCTCAGCTTCTTTCTGTGCAGGCTCATCGGGCTTTTCCGGCGGTGGAATACGGCGGCCTCCCACCAGCAGAGTACTCTGCGCCCACTTACCAGATCGCGCACGCTTGGGAGCGGAAGTAGCCGACGGCGGGCCAACGCACACCCGCACCGTGCTTGGAGTAAGACTGGGCGAGGGCGGTGGAGGATCTTTGCTGCAGCCAGCAACAGCCGGGGGGAGAGTGAACGGGACGGGAATAGGAGAAGCAGTAGGAGTAGGGGTTACTACAAGGGCAGAGTCGTAAACGGTAGACCTAGGCGGTTCAGGTGTGACGGGAGCAGCCGTAGATCTAAGAAAATCTAGCCCAGAGCGGGGAGCATCCGAAGCTTTCTCCGGGTGGGACGGCGCTGTTGGTTTCGGGGGGGCGCGAAATGGGGCGGCGGGGCCGCGACGGGTCGTTGGCGGGGCCGCGACGGGTCGGTGGCGGGGCCGCGACGGGTCGGTGGCGGGGCCGCGACCGGAGTTGGCGGGGCCGCGACCGGAGTTGGCGGGGCCGCGACCGGAGTTGGCGGGGCCGCAACCGGAGGCGGCTGGGCCGCGACGTGAGGCAGCAGGGCCGCGACCGGAGGTGGCGGGGCCGCGACGGGTCCCCGTCGCCCGTCGCGACGCCTCCAGAGCGGGACGCGGCGAACGCCGCGCCAGAAGCCCGCCGCGCGCCTCGGGGCGCACAGCGGGCAGAGAACCGCCGCACGCCTCGGGGCGCACGGCGGGCAGAAAACCGCCGCGCGCCACGGGGCGCACGGCGGGCAGAAAACCGCCGCGCGCCTCGGGGCGCACGGCGGGAGGAAAAAAAAGTAGCAGCGGAAGCGAGGTGGTAACCCACCCACAGGCTCGATCCAAGGGGATCGACCTGCTCTGATAGCATGACAAAATTAGAAGGAAGAAAAAAAGGATTGAACTAGCAAGAATGAGGATACAAATAGCAAACCCTAGAAGGGTTGTACTCGCTATAGAGCACCCCACTACAGGCTAGAACATAAGATAATATTCTGACAGACCTATCTCCTGGCAATCGAGCAAGCAGGAACTAATTGCTCTCTCTTCAGCTGAAGCAGAATGTATCGCACTCTGCTCAGCCACCAAGGAAGGACTCTACCTTCGCGAGCTGCTGGAAGAAGCGAAGTTAGCCGAGTTACCCAACTTGACTCTGTTCTGCGACAACCAATATGCGATTCGTATCGCCATCAAGAGCGGATTCACGAACAGAACGAAGCATATCGCCCTGCGATATTTCTTTGTGAAGGACGAGATCGAGAAAGGGAAACTCAAACTATCCTACTGTCCCACGTCCAAGATGGCAGCTGACTACTTGACCAAGAAGCTCGGAAAACATAAGTTCGAGTACTACATGCTGCTGACTGGACAAAGCCACGTCACCATCAGCGACACTCCAGAAGCGAAGGGGAGTGTTCGGAACAAATAGTTTAAGCGCCTTTGTCGTGTCGAAACTCAAGACACAAGCGAAGCAGCTCAAATCGAAGCACCGCGAGTCAACCCTCGGAGGTAAACTTAACCGCTGGAGGTTACGAGAAAGTCAAAGGTCAGCGACCTTTGACCTGACGCAGCGCGACAGCAAGGACACACAACTGACTCGACATTGAGCAGTTGCCCGAGTTGCACTATATCGAACCGCAACAGTAAAACAGTTACAATTATGTCTCTTCATATTCTCTGTACTCATATATATATTTTCCTGTATCTCTTTGCATTAATCAACTTATTTTGCTCTCACATACTAGCGCAAGGTGGTTCAAAGACTTTTATCAATACGCTTCCGCTATTACATCTTTTACCCAAGACTTTAACTCTACTAAAAGATCCTAGGGCGTTCAGCCCAACAGCAGGGACCACCAAGTCAGAAGCCTGTAATCACCCTGAAATCAGGGTAATTACCCTGATATCGTCAGCCCTGGCTCAGGGAGAGTACTGTATTGTGGCTGTAAATACTGTATGCTTGTACTGTATGCTCGCAAGATATTTGAGATTGTTGTATAGGTCATTGTCAAGTGAGTCCGTTGTTGCAGAAGATTAGAAAATTTCGTGCCAACGAATAATTGTGTGATGCGTGATGGACATGATGTACACTCCGAAACCTGACACAAAGAACCAGCAGACAGGTAATTAAGCAGTGGAATGATGTATGACACCCGGAAATCAGTGTGGGTGAACATGCTGTCACTCTTGGGGAGCAGAAGCAGCAGACTTCCATTCTACAGCATCGGGGCAATCACAAGTCCCCATCGTCGCTTGAAGGGAGCTCCTCGTTATTGCGGAGGGCGAGGACGATGAAGGCTCAGAGGAGGCGGAGCACACTGCCTGCCAGAGAAAATGCCAAGTGCCCAGAGGGAGACGTGATAATAGTGGTCATCTTGGCCTTGCGCCTGCTGAATAGGCCCTGCAAAGAGGGAGAGCAGGTAAGGTGGGGAAGGTAGGGAACGCAGGGAAGGGAAGGAGGGAGGGGAATGTAGGGAAGGCCAGGGAGGGAAGAGAAAGCAGGGAAAGGAAGATAGGGAAGGGAAAGTAGGAAAGGGAAGGAAAAGAAAGGGAGGGAAGGCCACGAAGATGCAGGCTGATAACTGGCAGAGCGCACTGCCTGGAAATTCGTCTAGTCCAGCAGAGCCAATCCATTGTTTTTAGACCACAGTTCTCTGTTACAAGGGTGGCCAAATGAGTCTTTTGCCCACCCCAACAGGACCAGTTGGAGTTTAACAACACACTCGGGGCAATGCTGTTAACAGCCCACCATCCACCTCCCACAATCCACCACGCATTATCCACCATCCACCATGCACAATCCACCATCCACCATCCAGCGTCCACCATCCACCCCCTTACTCACCTCACCACCATGGCAGCATAGAGGGCGGGAAAGGAAGTAGGGCAGATGGACAGCTACACACAGTAATTATCCCCCCCATCTCCCGCCCCCCTTTCCTCCCACCATTTTCCTATTCCCCACCACACACGCTCCCTTATCCGCCATCTCACCGGCACTGCCTTGTCTTCACCCCACTCCCCCCCTCTTCTTACAACGCACCCACAAGAGGGCATGAAAGACAGGAAACGAGTGGCAGGGCCGTGGAAGAGGTGCAGGTGGGGAATGTGCAGGTGGGGTGACGCTTCGAGGGGATGGGGTGGGGGTGGGTGCGATGGGGGAGGAGGAAGGGAGGAGCAAAGAGCACGGGGAAAGCAAGAAGTGTTGGGTGGACCATCATGCATCGTTGCTTGAGTGTTGTCCTAGTCGTTATCTCGACCAATCCCACGACGATGGGGTCACTGCTGGAGAGCAGTCGGGCGACACCAAGGTCCATCGCAGGCCAGTTGTGTTCCGCTACGAGGGCCTCACTGCCAGGGAACAGCACGCAAAGTACGCGCACACCTAGGGCGCGTGATGTGCTCTGCTCTGCTGCGGTCTCGTCAGCAAGCTCTTGCTGGGTGGGTGGTATAGTCCAGCCCTGTTGACCTGTGGCCCATGGCCCTATGCCCGTGATCTGCGCGTACATTGACTTGCGCTAGCCACTGGATCCCACTGCCTCCTCGCCAGCTGACTCCTCCCGGCAGGATCAGGGCATGGGGGAGGAAGACGGTGGGGGAGAGGCGTGTGGCCAAGGCGTGAGAGGGGGAGGTGTTGGAAGGAGGCGTGGAGGGGAGGCACAGGCGGGAGGCGTGGGGGAAAAGGGGTTGGGGAGCGGGTTGGGCGAGAGGTTTGGGGGAGAGGCTTGGGAAAGAGGTTTAGGGAAGTGTTGGGAGAGAGGCGTGGCAGAGAGGGGTAAGGGTGGGGCGTGCGGAGAGTGGGGGAGAGGTGCGGGAAAGCAGGGAGGGGAGACGGGTGGGTAGAGGCCGTTGGGGCAAGCGGGTGGGGGAGAGAGATGGGGGAGAGGTGTGGGGGAGAGGGTTGGGGGAGAGGGGTGAGGGAGAGGGGTGGGGGAGAGGGTTGGGGAAGAGGGGTGAGGGAGGGTGGTGGGGAGATGGGTGCAGAGAAAAAATGGGCATTGTGGCTTGAAAAAATAACCAATCTTTGCGTCACATACCTCACCCTTTTTGTCCGAGCCTTCACCTACCCTCATCTCCCTTCAACCCCCCTATCTCCTCTTAAGCCTCCCATATCCCCATTATCCCATCGCCCCCCTCACCCATGGGCGCAGCCACTCGTGCATGCCCTGCGCCATCACCCCTCACCGCTCATCCCCAAATCCCCTCCTCTCCTCTTCCCCCCCTCTCTTCTCACTCACTCACCAGCAGGCGCGACCACTCACACATGTCCTGGGCCAGCTTGCGCAGCACCACGCGGTCTGCTACTGCTGGCATGCGGCTCTCACACACCTGGCGGGGGGAAAAACGGGGAGAAGGGGGAGGGGGGACAAGTATGGATCAAGCACACTCATGCATTTGGCATGAAGCCAGACCGCATTGGAACAAGAGAAAGCCCTGGAGGAGCAAGGAGATTAGAAGAGGAGTAAGGAGAGTAGAAGAGGAGCAATGAGAGTAGAAGAGGAGCAATGAGAGTAGAAGAGGAGCAATGAGAGTAGAAGAGGAGCAAGGAGAGTAGAAGAGGAGCAAGGAGAGTAGAAGAGGAGCAAGGAGAGTAGAAGAGGAGCAAGGAGAGTAAAAGAGCAGCAAGGAGAGTAGAAGAGGAGCAAGGAGAGTAGAAGAGGAGCAAGGAGAGTAGAAGAGGAGCAAGGAGAGTAGAAGAGGAGCAAGGAGAGTAGAAGAGGAGCAAGGAGAGTAGAAGAGGAGCAAGGAGAGTAGAAGAGGAGCAAGGAGAGTAGAAGAGGAGCAAGGAGAGTAGAAGAGGAGCAAGGAGAGTAGAAGAGGAGGAAGGAGAGTAGAACTTAGGAAAGGGAATTTGTGAAAAAAAAAGATCAGCAAGGTTGCATCAGAGTGGCGCAGCGGAAGCGTGGTGGGCCCATAACCCACAGGTCCGAGGATCGAAACCTCGCTCTGTTAAGGCTATCACCCCCAACGGGGCTGTTTTGTTTATGCTAAAATGTATTTGTTCTTCAGTTCCCAGAACAGAATCGTGGTGCGAGGATGGCTGTAAGGTTGTGATGCACACCACGCATGTACAACCACCATGGATCTCCCACCCACGCACTCTATCCTCGAGTTCTGATATTGGGAACCCTCCAAAACTTCTGCCCATTCATTCCTTCAAAAGCATTATATATCCTACTACACTGCATATCTTCTTTTTCTTCCCTACATACCCATCCGTTACAGGTGAAGGAGGTGTTTTCTCTCCCATGTATTCCTGTAGGCGCCAGTAGAAGGTAGCCAGAAAGGCCGAGGCCGCATGGGTGAGTTTTTATATTGTAGAACATTCATACACACACGCATGCAGAAATGAATACCAAGAGTGAAGGCGACCCATGAGGAGGAAAGGACTGCATAGGGTAGTAGTGTGAAGTCACACACGAGTCGGAATGAACCCTATGCTCCTTCATGGTTCATTCCGACTCACGAGCCGTGAAGGACACAAACAAGGGGATGGGAAAGTTGCTGACAGAGTGAAAAGGAACCTCAAGAACAGCGAGCGAACCAGAGAGAGGAACCAGAGGAGTCAGGCAAGGGAGGAGATGATCAGGTTGGAGAGGTACACAGAGGGGCTGGTACAAAGGTGATGTTGTACATCAGCCACATGAAGCGAGCTGAACGAGCAGAGCAGCCAGAAGGTCCCAGGAACAGCGATGGTATCAGAAAATGGTTTCTGAGAAGGGAATCGTTGTGCAAGAGAAAGGAGGTGAGAGAAAAATAAAAGTAGCAAGCAAAGACAAAGGGGTCTTATCTGTTGAAGTTTCTCCAAACAAAAAAAACCTTCATTGTATAAGCAGAATTTGACGCTCCCATCACACCTTTACATCAATGCAAGTAGGTAGGTGAGGGTTGCAAAACGCGGCAGTGAGGGATAGGCCAGAAGGGATCCCAAGAGTAGGAAGGGAGCAAGATACAAGGCTGCACGAGGATGCGGACCAGGAATGACGACGAGTCAAAGATCTCAGCTCAGCGTGGCATGAAATATGCAACCTCACCCACCGGATACACATCCTCACACTGGATAGAACCGAATCCATGATTGGTTGCTTCCGTGGCTTGTTTCTCCTTACCACAGCCAGGCGGGGTGAGGGAAGACGGAGTGAGCACACCACGCGGGATCTGAAATTATAGTGCAAGGGAGAAGAAAAATGGTGGTGAGTCCTATACTATGAGTGAACAAAGGGGCTCGTGGCCTGGCCGTTTGAGGTGCACTTTGAGTAGGAAGATTCCTGAAGTAGACTCGCACGCAACTCGGGTCAGCTTGAGACCATGGGGCTGATAGAAAACCAGAGCAACTCGGGCTGTGCTGGTTTTCTACTACACACTTTCCAAGCCAAATCGCATGCATTCAAGACCTCAGTTTCAAAGATTTTCCGTTGGTTGAGGTTGGCGAGGAGCGTAAGACATGCTAAATCCATCCCCTGACCTGGAGGACTACCCCCGGGGGGAGTTTAGAACGAGGTGGCTCATGAGTCGCAAGGCTGGGGCGAGCCTGGCAGCTTGGTGAGAGCCTCCTTGGCCCGGGCATTAGATTCTTACCAGTTTAATTAAACCACAAGCAAATGCACTCCTCAAATGTGAGTGGAACGCATTTGCAGGTCGAGTCAACGTTGATTTGCGAGTTGATTCGAGCCGGATAGCCGAGTTCGGTAGAATCGAAATTTGACTCGAATCGGGTCAAGGTTGGTCGACTCGTTTTGGCACATTGGCCCGATATGACAAAAAGTACGAGCAAAACGATTTCTAGGCTGCGAGCCAGGCTTGCAAGGCTTGCAATGCGGAAGGCCGACTGGGACAGCTATAGGATGGCTTACCTCTTCTCGATGTGCCCCCATGCCGCCCTGCCCCATGCCGCCTTGCCCCATGCCCCCCTGCCCCATGCCGCCCTGCCCCATGCCGCCGTGCCACATGCTACCTTGTCGATTGAGTGCCACGCTGCCCTGTCTCTGCAGCACACGCTGCTGCTGCTGCTGTCAAGGCTGCGCCGCCCGATCGCCACACTACACTGATGCTGTGACTGCAATCCACGCTGCTGCCCACCATGCCACCACCACCGCCATTATGGGCAGTCGCGGTGCTGCCATGCTGCGCGCACTGGGGGAAGCCCAGGGAAGAGGAGGTGGGTGTGGGCATGATCACGCCCGTGAGAATGGCATCCGTGAGTGCTGCATCAGCTGCCAGCAGCCGTGCTCGCCCCTCCTCCATGCTCGCGCTCCTCCCAATCATGCTGCCTCTGCTTCCCGTGCTTCCCGTGCTGCCTATGCTGCCTGTTCTTGTTGCTGGCCGCCACAATTCCTCCATGCCTGGGTGCCCCTGTCCCCTTCTCCCCCCCCCCCTCCTTCGGCCTTGTGCCTGCGCGCATGTCTGTATTGATCAAACTGCCGCTCATGCTCCCTCCCGCCCCTTCTCCCCCACCTTCTCCCCCCCCTCTTCCCTCTCCCCCCCCTCTTCCCTCTCCCCTTCCTCCCATTCTCCTGCCCATGCTGCCCTCGAGTCGTCTCCCAGGGGCAGTAGTGTAGGGGAGGCGCGCAAAAGAGGAGCTAATGCTGCTAGTGCGAGGCGTGCGGAGGAGAGGCTGAGGCAACGGGCCTGACACAGGCAGTGGGGGGAGAAAGAGGGGAGCCAAGGCGCTGGTGGGACGAATGTGAGAAGCAGAGAAGAAAGTGGTGCTGCGGATACTGCAGACACGTGGTGTCATATGGCATTGCGTGGGGGACAGCCACAGCAGTCGCACATGCGCGAAACACACCTAAGGAGCAGGGGAAGAGCGACTTCTAAAGCAACGTGCTGGACACTCCCCCCCCCCCCCCCCCCCCCCCCCCCCCCTCCCCCAACCATCTGCACCACCACGACCGCCAGTATCCGCGTCCCCTCTGCTGCTCTTGACTCCTCATTCCTCCTCCCTTTCCTCGCCCGCTCCCTCTGCTGCCCCCTCCCATGCTCGCTGCCTCTCACTCCTCCATCTGCCTGCCCCCACTTCACCCTGCTGCTCCACTGCACCCGCCGCCAGTCTACCTGCGCTGCCCGCGGCGCTTGCGTCGCCCAGGCGCGGCCCCAAGAAGGAGTAGAAGGCGGGCACGGGTGCTGCAGGGCTCACTTGGGCGGGCGGCGGCACGGAGTGGTGCGACAGGGAGAGCAAGGGGTAGGAGGGGGGATATGGGGAAACAAGGAGGGAGGGGAAGCGAGAAGGAAGGGCAAGAAAAGGGGGGTTTGGGGGGGAAGAGAAGGAAGGTGAGATTAGGGCAGTGGGGGCGGAGAGAGGGGTTGGGAGGTGCAGACACGAGTGTGGCTGCCCCTCTCCCTTGCGCTCTTTTCTTCCCCCTCCCCCTCATCCTTCCCCTCATCTTCCCCCTTCCCCTCCCCTCCCTCTCCCTCCTCCCCACTGTCCACGCCCAGTGATGCCAGCCACCGTAGTGCCGCCGCCGCCGCCACCTCCCGTGCCCACTCGCCCTCCCCCTCGCTCGAACAAGTTGCCAAGGGACAAGGAGCGGATGGGGGAGTTACCCACTGGATATACTTGAGGCGCAGGGGAAGCACTCAACCTTACAAATAAGCCCCACAGGCGTTGCACGAATAGAGCAGGATGGGGAGCGAAGTGGGTGCCGTGGGCACGCGACAGGGACTGATGCTGCGAGCAACGCGGACGAGAATAGAGCAGGATGGGAAGCAGGGTGAGTAAAGTGGTTGGTGAGACGGAATGGTTTAAGAGCAACAAAGAGCACGGATCTAGGGTAACGTCTTTATGCACAGTGATTGCAATGGGGAGCAGAATGCGGGACGCGGGGAGGCGAGGGGCTTTCGAGGCGCCAAAAGAAGCGCGAAGAGAGCGGGATGGGGAACGGAGTGAGTGGTGCGGGGAGGAATCTTGTCGGATCGACCTACGAGCACACTGAATCCCCCTCGTTCCCTCCTCTCCCCTTCAACAATGGTGATTTCCCATCCTACCTGCAGCAAGGTTTTTGTCGGACCAATCCACTCGCACATCGATTGTCGTCCCCTCTTTCCCCCTTGCGTGCAAGTCTGCGCCTCAATGGATCAACCTGCGAGCAGTTATCTCCTAATGCGAGCAATAGAGGGACCCCAGTTCAAGTGAGTGAACTCAGTGCAATAGACCCCACTGCGACTGCGACTTGCCTCAGCGACAGACCCCACCCCAGTGAGTCAGACCTCAGTGCGACAAACGGCAGTGCGACAAACTTTAGTGTGACAGACGTCACAGATCCAGCGCGCTGCCTTGTGTGGAGCGACAGTCGCATCGTCATGCCCAAGTTCTTCCAATGAACAGCACAAAAACAAGACAAAGAGGGTGACCACTAGGCAATTAATAATACGTTATCAGAGTAATCGCTGTGCTTTGATGTGACGTCGCACTGTGAAGTGCAAAACAATACTGATACAAAAAAAATAGTGTAACATGGACGCTGATACGGTTTCCTCAGCAAACCCCTTACACCACAAACGAGCTCGTGCTCAGCAGGATTCGAACCTGCGCGGGCAGAGCCCAACAGATTTTTGGTATGACCCGATAACCACTCCAGCAGCACATATCTGTGCTCCCCACAACTGGACCATACTCCCCTCACCAGCCCATGTCCTTCTCCTTTTGCTCAACCCTGGGAACCCAGTAGCCCTGCCTAACCTCGCCTCATCTGCTCGTCCTCGAAAACTGACGGCATGCAACAAGCTTGCTAGTGGTGACTTGCTGGTGAACCATCCTTAGACTACGTTCCTCTCACCACCTACCACCTTCTCCCGCTGCTCTACCCTGAGATAGGACATGACCACAAGGAAAACAGCAGGCCCACCTAGCCTTGCCTCACCCGTAATCTGTTCGTGACCCACTATTGACAAACAAGTTTCAAACAGCCCAGCCCACCACCCCTCACTCACTCCCGAACGCACCTCCTCCTCCCTCTGCTTGTCACTCCTAAAAAACCGCCACGGGGCACCCAGCCGCCCCTCCCACCAGCTTCGCCTCACCCGTGATCTACGAGTGACACAGATGCATCATACAGCCCAGTCCACCACCCCTCGCTCACTTCGGACGCACCTCCTCCTCCCTCTGCCCGGCCATCCTCAAAAACCGCCACGGGGAACCCAGCAGCCGGGCCTCACCCAGCTTCGCCTGCAGCCTCCCGTGCAGCTCTGCCATGGCAGCAACCTCTTCTTGGGTGAGCAGTGCGCCCGTGCCGTGGGTATGGGGGAGTCCGTGGGGCAGAAGATGGCGTGGGAGAAGCAGGTGCGGGGCTGAAAGGGGGAGGGTGAGAGGAGCGGGGGGGAGGGTAAACAACACAGTGGCTTATGAGGGGATTGTGGGAGGCAGTACTGTAGGAGCGTGGTTTCAGTAGGCCAGAAGTGGGTGTAGGAGAGGCAGGTGTGAAGCTGGTGAAGAGAGGAGTGGAGGAGGAAAGAAAAGAGGGTAAGGGTGGTGAGAGGAAGGTGCGGTGGAGCCCTGGAAGGAGTGCACTTGGAAGCCCGCGGGTTCCCTGTGAACAGTGCGCCCATGTTGCAGAGGTGGGGGATTTATGGGCCAGAAATCAGTACATGAGAAGCAGGTACTGTGCGGAGCTGGTGGGGACACGGCAGGAAGGGATGGGGGAGGTGGGAAGGGGAGAGGAAGGGACAGCGCGTGGGCGACGGAAGTGGCAGAAGTCCGCGGGCCACACATGGAGTAGGAGGAACAGGTGCATCATAGCTGGGGGGGGTGGGAAGAGAGAGGCGGAGCGAGAGGGTATGGGGAAGGGAGGGGATAGCGCCTGGGAGAGCTGAGCGGTGTGCCCGTTGGGGCGTGTGTCTATGAGTCTGTGTAGAAAAACTAGGTGCGGAGCTGGAAAGGAAAGGGGAGAAGGGGTGAAAGAGGTCAAGGGAAAGGGAAGAAGTGGGAGGAAGTGATAGTGCCTTTGTGAGTAATGTGCTTGTGTGGTAGGGGCAGATGTCAGGGGCACACAAGTCGATGTGGAATACACATTCACGGGCATTATCCAGCCTGTTAACTCCCCCCAGGTCCCTTCCACCCATTGGTGACACCCATCGCATCACCTATGACCTCCGCCCGCCCCAGCAGCAACCCCTCCTTCACCCCCCTTCAGCCCCCCTCCCCCCCACTCCTTTCACAAACCCCCACTCACCGTCCCCTTGGCCAACTTTCACACGAATACCCACCCCTCACCGCTCTGACCTGTGGGGTTGGCGATATATCCACCGTACCACCGCCCCGCCATCTTCAACACCAAACACATCCTCTATAGCCTCCGCCAGCCCCATCAGCAGTCCCCATTCCCCGCCCCCTCGTGAGCGCTCTCTGCAGCGCAAACGCTCACAGAGCTGGGGTGGAGAGGGGGGAAGAGAAGAAAGGAAAAGGGGCAGTGGCTAATGAGAGGGATGTGAGTGACAGTGCTGTGAGGATGCAAACCTGTGGGCCGGAAGTCCCTAAAGGAGAAGTAGGCGGAGAGATAAGGTGAAGCGGAGAAAGGCGGGGAGCAGTGCTTTGATGAGGAGGATGCGGGCAGGGAGGGAAGCGGGAGACAGTGCTAAAGAAGCGTGAATCTGTAGGTCCGTGGAGGAGGAGCAACGGAGCTTTGGGGGGGAAGGGAGAAGGGGGAAAGAGGGTCAAGGGGAAAAGGCGAAAGTGGTAGGGAACGCAGTGAATTAGCGAGAAATGTCATGCGTGGTAAGGGCAGAATTCAGGGGATCAAAATGCAGTGTGGCATACACACATGCGGTGCTGAGCGGATGAGATGGGGGGAGGTTGCAATAGGGAGTTGGTTGGGAAGACGTAATTGGAAATTTAAAAGGAGAGGAGGCTTTTGCAGGGGGGATGGGGGGATGAGATTCACTCTTGGCTGCAACCATCCTTTCAGCTCATCTATGCTGCCCATCAACTCCCTCCACTCCGATCAAAGCCATCCCAAAGCCACTCACAATGACTCCTTGCCAACTCTTCACTGACTCTCAGCAACTCTCGCCGAGATAGCTATTCAACTGCCCCCTTCCCACCGCCACCCACGAGTGACCCGAGTGGTTCCTACACGCATCTCCCCCACTCCACACCGACTTCCAACCAAGCCCCTACATGTTTCTAACCTTGGAGATTTCTAGCTTGTCAACTGCTGCCACCAAACAAGCCCCCAGGCGTCTTCTATGGCCTCTGCCAGCCCTGGAAGCACCCCCCCCCCCCCCCCCCCCCCCCCCCCCCCCACTCTCCCCTCCCCCCCCTTTTCCGTCCCTTCTCCCCCCTTCCTCCACGCCCCTTCTTCCCACTCCTCCCCCCCTTTTCACCGCTTCCTCAATTGACATCCACACACGCCCCTACCCAGCAGGCCCGTCACCGACTCTCACCTTCGTCATGCAAGTCCATCCGAAGCCACAAGAGAAGTTGGCGAGCTGCCATGTGAAGCTCGGGATCTGAATTGTACTTTCCCGTGTGTGATTTCGACCACAGCCTGTGGGGGAGCAGAGAAGCGGGGATTGAGGACAATATGAGCGGAAAAAAGGGGAGGTTAGAGGGTGACGGGGGGGAAGGGGGGAGAAGCAGAATGGGAGAGACAAGGCGAGTTGAATAGGGAGAGAGGAGCGCAGGGAACCAATCGCAGCGACAGTAATTGTTGCAACACGTGGATGGCAGAATGACGCTTCAACAACCTGTGCCATGTGGCATGCGACAACTGTACCTCCTGAATCTGTCCGAGCTTCCCAGCACCATCATCCCTTCGCTTTTTGCTTTATGCATCATGAAATCTCCAATAACCCATATCTGTCATGTCACTGGTAAATATCTTTAATGTAAGCACCGGACAAAACGTCTTGCTGCTGCGACGCCATGCGGGGAATACCCAGCGAAACACAGAGAGCTGCAGCTTACCATCAGCACTACTCCGTCCTTGCAACCCTCCCCACGAAATCCACAGCACCTTCGACGCCTCAGAGAAAGGCCCGAAACAGACCGAGGCAGCCTCGCTGCACCGCCTGTGCATGCGGCCGAGTCACCATCCTATCTCAGAAATCCCGCGAATGGGTGTCGCGATTTGCCTGAGCAGGCAACAGGGACCGCCGAAGGAAGGCTGAATCACTTGTGCGGCGTCGCACAAGTGCAGCAGCAGCAGCAGCAGCAGCAGCAGCAGCTGCGCGCCGTCTCGCGAGGCGGGAGTGCGCAGCAGCATTTGCAGCAGCAGCGGCGGGAGCTGCACACCGAGCAAGGCGGGAGTGCGCGGTGCGGGGAGAGCGATGATCGGATCAGGTAGACTCGAGTCTGAAATGCCGCAACGTAGTAGCAGCTGGCGACATGGGCACGACGACGGGTCGTTTCTGTAGCTGCTACTTGAAAATAATGTCTATTGGTAGCTATTAAAGGATAGCAGGGGCCATTGATAGAACTAATATAGAGAGCGAGTGCACATGGTAGATTGGATTGGCGGTGACGAAGACGCTGGCGACGATTCCACCAATGCGTGGTGCGGACGGAAAGAGCCGGTACGGTTCCATGCACAGCTACTATAAACCGCCATCGATGCACAGCTGCTTGAGAAGGTGGATTTCTGGAAGTGAGGTAGGCACAAGAAGATTCAAAATTAGGGTTGGAGGCTGTAATGACCATCGAACAGAGAAATGGAAACGACGATATGTGATTCAAGCCTCCATTTACACGAGCACAACCTTGCTTGGCGATATTTCCGTGGCAAGGTTTGGGTTGGGGACAAAAGGCTCGGAAGCGACGCGAATCAGCTTCGGCTTCGTCAAATCGGCCGAGCCTGATCCCCACCATCTTCGGGAATTCGTACAATACCCCTAAAATGTCGTCTCCAGACCAGAAAGTAACCGAACGCACAGACCTCCGAACTTCACGCGTCCCACACCAAACGGCTCGCCTAGGAACTAAAACGCCAGCCGAGCCTGGCGATCCGGACGTACACCCTTTGCCTCGACAATCGTAAGTTTTTTGGCCAGTTTATTGCGAACTCGGAACCTCGCAATGTTCGGACCTTCGCACAATGCCGAAGGGACCTGAACAAATTTGGTTATCCTAAGGGCGGGTCCAGCGCGTACGTTTTCCGTACATTACAGTTCATCCAGTGCGTTAATCTGTACTGCGTCACGGTTCAAAACGGTGCAATTTCAAAAACGCTGTGCACCGCCTGATATCGTTTTAAACCACGACGAATGAACTGTATAGTACCTGTAAACGTACGCGCTGGACCCGCCCTAAGTTTGCTTCCAGCAAATAGAACCTAAGCAACAACCTGTGTCAGCGGTCTTTATGCTCCCTCCTAATCGCCTTGAGGAGCCACGGCTCAAGTGGAAAGCAAACCAGAATCCACACACACACTCGTTTTCACGTTCGAGGCTTTAAGTAGTACGCTCTGCTGTGCGTTGTCGGTGTATTATTTAGGCGTCTAAAAATTGGTCGCTGTGCTTCGCTGTCGGTTCTACCATTTTCAGTCGTCGTGATGGGTGCCAATTTCAACATGTCACGCCAATTCCGCATGTCGCGCCCCCGTTTTGCCATGTCACGCCGCCATTTCGATACGTCGCGTCGCCATTCCACCATTGCTCGCCGCCATTTCGCCACGTCACGCAGCAGTAGGATTCGTGCAGGCAACGGTAAGTCGCACTTGCGCCGCTTGCATTTCTCGAGAATGCGCTACCTGCATGCTCTTCCCTCTTCTGCCTGAAAGTAAGAGCGGTGTTACTACCATAACGGGTCGCGCGCTCGTCTAGTGCTACGGCGCGCTGACTGGGAGCCGTGGCTTGCCACGGTCAGGTGGCTGTCGGCTCCTTGAGTCACCGAGAGCTGATGGCGTGGCATATGGCCGGGGCCAAACCCGTGGTTTAGTTTGGCGCTTGGACGCAAAGGAGGATGACCGTAGCGCAGCTCGTCCGCGTGCTCGCCCCGTCCTGCCGTGGCGCCACTCGGAACGGCGAGCACGCAGCGGCGTTTCACGCGTACCTTAGTAGGATTGGCGTCATTGTAGCGGCGGCGGCGGGCTTTCCCAGTGGCATGACAGCGAGCACGAGAGAGCTCATTCCCCCACGCAGAGCGCACTGCGGACCTGGCGGCGGCACACGATGCCTAGGGGGGCTGCGTCGGTGGGGAAGCTAAGTGCCGTGAAGCCGCCCCTACGGACGTGCCGCGTATGTGCGTGTGCCTCGTCACTTGGGGAGCGCATCGTTGCTTTGTGCATCGTCGCTCAGTGCATCGTCACACTGTGTATCGTTGCTCAGTGCATCGTCACACTGTGTATCGTTGCTCAGTGCATCGTCACACTGTGTATCGTTGCTCAGTGCATCGTCACACTGTGTATCGTTGCTCAGTGCATCGTCACACTGTGTATCGTTGCTCAGTGCATCGTCACACTGTGTATCGTTGCTCAGTGCATCGTCACACTGTGTATCGTTGCTCAGTGCATCGTCACACTGTGTATCGTCTCGCAGTGTATCATCGCGCAGAGCGACTGAGTCAGCCCCATATGCACACCCCCCAACACTCGAACTATCCTTGTCGTTGAATACAAGTGGTACAGCAAAGTCAAGCGTAAAGAACTAAGGTAAGATTTCATCAGCCAACCTAAGCAAGGAAAAAGCCCTGACAGGTATATGCCACGAGGGGGTGCATATGAGGGAAGGAAATGAAAAGGAGGGGGAGGGGGGGGGGGGGGGAGGGGGAAGATGGGGGTATAGTCATGGGGAGTGGGTTGCTCTCCCTCTCCTGCATCCCGTCCCTCTCCCTCTGCCTCGCTTCTGCCTTCCCCTCCCCTCTCCCGGTTTCATTCCCTCCACTCCCCCTTCCCTTTCGTCCCCCCTGCCGTTCTTACCAAACGCAGACCCATCTCCTGCTCCCACTTCTCCCACTGCTGCTGCTCACTTGCTTCTGCCAGCTGCACGCTGGTGGTGGCGTGGCAAATACAGGCAGCAGACTGTGAGTGTGCCCGGGCGGGCGGGCGGGCATAAAGCGGCGGTATGGGGAGGTGACATGCAGGGGTGATGCGCGGTGATGCGAGATTGTCCAATGCCACTGTGACTCTCTCTCACCACGTTCCGCAGAAGCGCTCTAGCCGCTGCGCATGTCCTGCAACGATCAATCGCTCTCCTCCTGAACGCACAGCTCACCTCAACTTCCTCGTTCCAACTCTCCTTGCCCCCTCTTTGCCTCTCCATGCCCCCCTTCCTATGCTACTACCCTGTTATCACCCCGCCTTCCCTCCTTTCCCTCCCTTTCCTCCTTCCACTCCCTCTTCTCATCCCCTCTCCCAACAACCCTCACTCATCTGTCGCACAACCCTCTTCCGGTCCCTGCGTGCCCCCATGCCCCTCCCCGCGTTGCTTCCCTCCCCCCACACTCCACCGTGCCCGCTGACCTCCGTGAGCCCGCGGCTGCACCCCCTGCGTCCAACCCTCTCCTGCCTTCGCTGGCAGTCAAGCTGTTTTGCACGTGCTGGCAGCGTGGGGGCAGCTTGGGGGCGGCTGGCAGGCGTGGTCGGCCAGCAGCGACTGCTCCACCGTGCAGGGCGTCGCATGCGACGCTCGCAGGCAACGTCGTCTCCCTGGTACGTGAGGCATGTGAGTGCTGCTCCAGTGCATGCGAGTGCTGCTCCAGCGCATGTGGGTGCCTTCAGAGTACTCTCGGCCCGCTTGCCAGGGGCGTGCCAGCAACGTGTGCAGGTACTGGCTATGCCCCAGGGGTGCGTTCGGGTGGGCGGCTCTACTGAGAGTGAGAGTGCTGAACAAATAAGAGGGAAGATTGTGACGAGGGTGGATGAAAAAGCAACGCGGAATGCTGTCTTGTCATGTGTGCGTGCGTGCAGTGCGGCAGATGGGACGCACCATCAACGTCCCAGGCATCCCTCTCCTCACCTCAGTACATTGCCCCATCTGTAGTCCTTCCACGTCTCCCCTCCCTCTCTCTCTCCTAATTGTTCATTTTCCTTGCCCCAACCTTATACGTCCAACCCCATCCAACCCCATTTCGTGTATCCCGTCCATCCCCATGTTTCTCCATGTGTGCGCCACGCATGCAGCAAGCCGAGAGTGAATCATCTGAACATCTCCAAATGACATGAGCAACCTCCTTCAGTGTCACCTACCTGTCAGTACCACCCTTACCCCTCCTACCTAATCCATCCCACAACTACTTGGCTCTGTCCCTGTTTCATTGCATGAGTTTGTGTCACATGCCAGGTAGTCCCATGCTCTCTCCCTTTCTCGGATCCCTTCTTGACCATCTGTCCTCTGGAGGAACCGGCTGAGTTGATCAGCTTGTTGACCAACCTGATTTGAGTGATCTGCGCAGAACTGGCTGAGTTGATCCGTGCCTGAGTCCCTTATCTGTCGCACCTCAACCAACTCGCCACACTGTAATATATCCACTGCACTGAGAGATCTGGGCAGGCTCAATTGCTGAGGGGTGTCACTGGGTCGAAGAGGGTAGAGGGTTAGTGGTTGCGGGTGTACTGGCATGGGGCCACTGCGTGTGCAGAGTGAAAGAGTCTCAAGTTATGATTGTGATAAATGAGAGATAGGCTAACATAGGAAAGGAAACGGTGGGCAGATTGGATGAGTGCCCACACCATCATTGGTGGGTCAATTAGGTTGACCACGCAATGATTGGCCAACATTATTGGGGGATGGGGGGGGGGGGGGCAATAATTGATTAGATGGCCCAGTCATTATTTGGGATCCCCCAACAAATACGGTCCAAAAATGTTGGGAAGCACTCAACCAAAATCGGTTGGGGCTACTTGAGCCAAAGTGTACCACATTGGGTGTATCACTTGCAGTAGTATTAACTAGCATATGCAACATTCCAACTCATAGATATTGAAAGACGAATGTGAGGGGGATTGCTGTGGTGCAGCGCGGACTATGTACAGGGCGTTGTGTGCATGCATGCATTCTTGTGCGTTAGCACTCAGCACTGCACCATGCAAGAATATTGGGTTCTGCTTTTACCAAGGCTATCCCATGCATGTGTATCTCGTTGTCCGTAGCACTCAGTGGGGCACATAACGCATCGCCAATGGTCCATTCCATTCCCTGTAACCATGTGCAGGAGCCTTTCGGTCAACGGGTTCACTGTGGACAGCAGTCTGCCCTCAGCACCATCTCCACCCTCGATATCCTGTCAGCCACCCCATTGCCTCGCCCACCCTGCTGTTGCATCTGCACGTGTTATTTGTTCACTCATAGTGCCATGCGGCTCTCCTTTTGCCATGCCATGCTCTGACTGTCCTCCTCGCCTTGCTGCATGCAAGATAACGAGTGAATTCTCGTCCTGTCAAGATAACGATGTTGCAATTCCCCCTTGAGTCTGATAAAGTGATGCTGCAGCCCTCAACAATATAACTTACGCGCCTAGGCCATGTGGATGTTTCTCGAGCTCTTGAAAGAAGTCAGATTGATTAAAATGGATCGATGCAACTGCCTCTGTTCCCCTGCTCTGCCTTAGAGTCGACTACAAGCTCTGTGCTTTTTAGCTGACTGATAAGAAACTGTCTCTATCCTGTGCTCTGCCGTGCAGCGACCTGCACAATAACAACTTCCCTGGCGCCATTCCTGATCAGGTCTCCACCCTACCCACACTGATGAGCATGTATGCAGACATCATGAGCATGCATGCAGTCATCATGAGCATGTATGCAGTTACCATGAGCATGCATCCAGCCATCACAAGCATGTATGCAGTCATCATGAGCATGTATGCAGTCATCATGAGCATGTATGCAGTCATCATGAGCATGTATGCAGTCACCATGAGTACGGTATGTACGCCGTTCATTCTGTCACTGCATGGGGCCAAGAATCTGCTCGTGGAACTGTGACTCACAAGTTGTGAGAGCGCGTGCGGTGTTCTTTTCAATCTCTGGGCTAATCACCGCTCCACCGAAAATTCCTCTTTCCCTACCGTACTCCAGCCTTAGTAATGTCTTGAATAGACGCTTGACACCAATCATTATAGCTTTAGGATTCAACATACAATCATAGACAATTTTTGATGCTTGCGAGCGATTCATTGTGTGCACAGGGTACAGCCGAAACATAGTGTATGGATCTAGAACGAGATTTTAGTCTACAGACCTCCACTCCCCCGGTTTGGCCCCTGCTTCATAAGGACACTGCCCTAAGGACAGAGGCAGTGGTTTATGATAATGGATTTCGCCGAAACCCACTATCTGGTAGCTCTCTCATTTGTCCGCTCTGATGTTTGTAGCGCTCGTGCTACTTGTCAGGCCTATCACATCACGATAGGAGACACGTGTAGCATGCTGAAATCATGCTCTCCTTTCTTATCCCCAACCTAGTGTTTAATCAAGCCATGTATTTACAGGGAGCTGGCACGGTCAAACATTGGTGGAACCTAGCCCCTCTATTGGAACCCTGAGTCACCTTGACATCTCGCCAACCATAACCCATCCCTGTAGCTTCTCTCTTGGTGTTTACCTTGCTTGCCTGGTGTGTTGTTGGTGCAACCTCCTGTGCACGTATGATTCTGAGTCTCCTTGGCTTTGCATCAGTCTATGTCAGTAGCTTTGAGGACAAGAGTCATCAGAAAGGTACTGAGACATTGCGTGTTAAAGACATATATGCAGACTGCAATAGAATGCGCTCTCTCTTGTTCACTCAAGGACTCCCTTATCGTTCCATCATCATAGTCTGTGATGTATCACGTGTGCACACGACGTCTTCCACGCTGTGGGTTCAGGTAGCTGGAGGGTGTGGGGCTCAGAGGCACGGTCCCCAGATCATTCTCCTTCAGAACTTGGGCTTTTTATGTGTGCACCCTGGCTGCTTGCTGTTGTATCCAGTGTCTCTTGGCGTCTAGTCCAATCACACTTATCCAAGTTACCAACCTTGACATGTAGTTGAAATCATGCTTGTATGCAACGCAACTGCATGCAACAACAGCACTCCATGCTACCTCCGCTGAGGGCCTTAGGAAGCGCACTCAACCCTGCTAGATGGGGGTCCAAGTGCTGCCATGCCATGCCCGCCATGTTCACGAGTTGTCTTCGGATGTGCTTTCTTCCAGCTACCTGAACAGGAACGTCCTCTCTGGCGATGTGTACGGCATCACACGCAATATGACCAGCCTTGTCACGTTGCACGTGCATGGGGGGAATCGCATATGGCATGCACCATGTGCTATTTGCCATGTCCCAGGTCCCATGTGCCAATGGGCCATGTGCCATTTGTTGCTTGCCTTGGTGTGTTGAGGGGGTCCTGAAAGAGCCCATTCTAAGAGAGCATTGGATTGGGAAGGAGGACTACAGATAGGACTGAAAATGCTTGTTACACCAAGCCCCTTCCTTTGGTCCGATGGTTTACACCAAGCCCCTTCCTTTGGTCCGATGGTTTACACCAAGCCCCTTCCTTTGGTCCGATGGTTTACACCAAGCCCCTTCCTTTGGTCCGATGGTTTACACCAAGCCCCTTCCTTTGGTCCGATGGTTTACACCAAGCCCCTTCCTTTGGTCCGATGGTTTACACCAAGCCCCTTCCTTTGGTCCGATGGTTTATCTGTATGTTCAAGGCTCATCTGCTTGCGCGCTGGTAATTGCTGACCAGCATCAAACACATTCTTCCAACAGAACACTGCATCTTTCCTCTGCACCACCCTGTGCGTGTTCACTTCTCACCCACTCTTGTCACACCCCCGCTCATGCGCCATTTTCCCACCCACTCCTCGCCTTGGCTCTCCCTGCCCTCGCCCCCCCTTTTTTACAGTGACATGTCAGCCAACCAGTGACAGGGTGACTGCCATTGCCCCTGTCGCCCTACCTGCAGCCAACCAGTTCCCGCCCTACCTACCCTACACCCACCGCAACTTCTTCTTCCACGGGACCATCATCCCGCCCGAGGCCAACCACACCTACCTTGGCAACGCCTTTGAGCATTGTCTGCTCAACGCATCCCGGGCGCCTGGAGACTACTTGGAGCAGAGGAGTGCAGAGGAGTGTGGTGCGTTCTGTGGGGTTTCTGCTGGGGATTGCCAACCCCTGTGCAGCGGGCATGTCATGTGCTCCTTCAGTGAGTCTGTGCAGGAATCAGTATACACCTGCGATAGCAACTTCGACAACCAGGCCGGACTGCCCTCGTGCTCCAACAGTTGTGTGTATACACAAGTTTTGGGAGAGGCTGAGTGATCTGGTGTAAGAAGCAGATGGCACTCTCTTGTTGTGCCATTTGATTGCGTTGCATACCCTGCTTATTTCTCGTAATTGTTACCATTACAGCTGCATCGCAGTTGAAACCTCTCGAACTCCTGGTGTTGATTTATTTACATCCAAGCATAGTTCTTCCGTTCCGTTTGCACCCATCTGCCTTGCCTCGCTCTGGATAACCCTGCAATTCTCCCTTCAACCAAATCATCACAGACAACAGCAGTCTCCCTGGCAGGTGCAGCAGCGCAACCATTCAATGGCACCATCATCCTCACGCCCCCCACCAGCAACACGTCAGGAGCAGCACAGTGTAGCGCCCATCTGCCTCTTCCTTTTCATCGACAACCCTGGCCCGTGTAGCACGCCCTTTGTGTTCAATGCCTTCTTTAGCTTCGCCAGTCAAGTACATGGGGGGAGAAGGTTTTGTGTCAGTCGTAGGTCACTTTCAGGTCACACTCAGATCGCTCTAGAAACTCTCATAATGAGAGTCTCATATCACTTTCAGGCCACTCTCAGGTCACTCTCAAGTCACTCTCAGGTCAAACTCAGGTCAATTTCAGGTCAATTTCAGGTCAGTCTCGTATCAGTTTCAGGTTGGTCTTAGGTCAAATAAGGTCAAATTCAGGTCAGTCTAAGGTCAAACACGGGTCAGTCTTTTGGTCAGTTTCTGGTCAGTCTCATGTCAGCCTCATGTCAGTCTGAGGCCAGTCGTGGGTGCAGGTATGATGCAGGGCCATGCCTTCCACAAACACGAG